AGTAAGAGTTTGATTAGCTGGTTCAGGTGTGTTTAATTGGGGTTGGAGCTAACCTCTGCAGGACACCAGCCCTCCAGGACCGAGTTTGGACAGCCCTGGACTACAGAATAACCCAAACCTCAGACCAGCCCTGAAAGGAAAACATTATTTACTTTATGAATAATTTTATCCTTCAGAACATCCCCAGTGGGCGTTTTTCTCATATTTAGCTCATTTTTGAGGAACATTTCGACCCCAAACTTTCTCCAAGTTCCTGGTGTCGTGGATCTGAGATGCACACACACCTTTATTCGGTCTTGTGGGATAAAAGCACATTTATTTGTGCTGTAGCAGTTAGAAGATGCTGGTTTGACCCACATACACAACACGATCTGTACAGAATCCATGCATTTCCATGCTTTGACTGACATAGATTGTGTCAGGTGAGCATTTCACTTCTTCATCATTTGAGTCAGTGCTCTAGATTGTGTTTTAGATGTTTTCAAACGTGTTTACAGCACTGGTTGACTAGGTTAGTGTGGGTCATGTGAGTAACTGATTGATTTCTCTCGAATGCCTCAGGCTGAGGAAACAAAAGTGTTTAACTGCATCTGTTCTTCACATTGTGTCTGTGAGGAGCAGCTGTAGCTGGAGGCCTTCGCTTTATACAGACCCACCACACACCAGCACTGAGCTGCATACATAGAGCACATCTCTAGATATTTATGACTCTACATATGAGTGCTGTTCCAGAGGTCATGTAGTATAATGAATTTGGGCCAAATACTAAAACACCATCCATATATGAAAGCATCTCATCTCAGAATGTGTTTAATTACTCCACAAATGAGCTTTTATGCATCTGTAATCCACAGTGTCTGTGTTTGAAATGCAGTACTAGTGTGCTTTTACTGCATACTATTTATGTATTTATTTATTTATTGTAATAATAAAAAATATAATTATAAATTATAATATATTTATTTATTTATGTTTGTTTTATGTATTATATTTTATTTAAGTTGTATTATTAGTATAAAATTGCTTTGCAACATGCTCAGATGGTGGATGATGAAATAGAAATATTTGTTATAATTATATTTTATTCAATAGCAAATAGTATTAATATTAATATGATTAAAAATCAAAGTTAATATTATTTAAATTCTATTATTATTATTATGAATACTAATTTAAATATCAGTATTGATGTATTAATATACATTTATATAATTATTACTTTCGCAGCATCATTTTAATTGATCTTTTTTATTTATTTTTTATTTTTATATAATCTGATTAATTGTAAATGTTCCAGGAGTTTTAGAAGCATGCAATGCTAATAATATATGTATAAATGTATATACATTTATATTGTTATTGCATTTATATTATCAATAATAATAATAATTATTATTATTATCATCATTATTATTATTATTATTAGTAATTTTATTATTTGTCCTTGACATTTTTTATTATAATAGTAAATAGATAATTCTTAATAATAACAATAATAACAACAATAATAATGTAATAATATATAATAATTTGCATTAATTGTAATAGTGAATTATTAAAAAATAATTTAAACAGTGACGTTAAATTTAAATAGTGATAATTTTATTGTATATTATTATTATTACTACTATTATTATTATTACTATTATGTTTTATTTATTTATTATAATAATTTAAAAAACACTGTGGTGACTAATAATAAAAATATAGTACGATAAGAAGGCAGTAAACAGCAAGGCAGCTCACTAGGTTTTGTTAGAGAGCTGTACTGTAGTGTACAGAAAACATGCAGTGAGCATGCTGGGAAACACAAATGGGCGTTTGGGGGCAGAGGCAGTAAGAAGGCACGCAGGTCAGCGATGATTGGCAGTCGTGGGCGGGTTGGTAAGCAGCCACTGCTGAAGGAAATGAGTGTGGGATTTGCATATTAATGAGGCTGCAGTGGCTCCTCCCCCTCGAGCCTCTGCACTGGCCTTCCCTGACTCGATCGGCTCAGTCGGCTCAGTGAGGAAGAGCCACACAGACACCATCTGTCTCCTCCTGTGATCGTCCGGAGTCAGGACTCCTCTGTGTGGGTTATTGTGGTGTGTCTGGGTGTGTGGCGGGACGTCGCTGGGTCTCATGAGGGTGTTTGAGAGCGGCGGGTGCTGGCTGACCCTCAGCACGGCCTCAGACAGACAGTCAGCCGCGTTCATGGAGAAAAGACGCTGCAGTCCTTTCCCCTTGTGCTGGGCCGCAGGTACACGTCAGTGTTTGTGTGTCGGGGTTCGGAGAGTTTGTGATTGCTGATGGTTTGTGATAGTTTGTAGTGCCATGCAATCAGTCATGTTTTGGTAGTTGGAAGTGTTTTGACACAAGTGTTCTTGCTTTCTACATTTCTCAAAGAATAAACACAGGCTTTATTTTATTATTTTTGTTTTGATTATGTTTTTGTTTTGTCTTTTTTGTTTTTTATTTAAATATTCTATTTCATTTTTTTTAGGTTTTAATCTATTTTTATTTTATTGGTTTTGTATTTTGTTTATCTTGTTTTGGATCTATTTTTGTTTTGTTTTGTTTTTGTATTTATTTTATTGTATATTTTATTTTGCTTTATCTTGGTTTTTAATTTACTTTTTTTTTTGTTGTTTTTATTTTTGTTTGTATTTGTTTAATCTTGTTTTCAGTCTATTTTTAATCTATTTTTTATTTATTTTCATTTTATATTATTTAATTTAGATTTATCGATTTTTTATTTATTTCATTTATTTTGTTGTGTTTTGTATTCGTTTAATCTATTTTTGTTTGTAACACAAATTTTTATTATTTTTGTTTTATTTTTAAATGTTAATATGTTTTATTTCTTTTATTTCGTTTTTAATCTTTTTATTTTATTTTATTTTACAGGGCCATAAACATTAATTAGCAACACTGTGTGACATGCACACTAAAAACTATCTTAAAAACAACATAATTTACAATATTTTATCTTACAAAGAGGAATCATAAAGCAATTCAGTATGATTTTTTGCCTTATTTTTGTGAAGGAGATTTCATTTGTGTGAGTGTGAGTGTGAGTGTGAGAGTGAGTGAGTGTGAGTGTGAGTGTGAGTGTGAGTGTGAGTGTGAGTGTGT